GCATACAGATCTTTTACATCTTTGGTTAGGTTTATTCCTAGGTATTTTATGATTCTTGGTCCAATTGTGAATGGGATCAGTTTGTCTTTCTGTTGCTTCATTATTAGTGTATAAGAATGCAACTGATTTCTATACATTGATATTGTATCTTGAAACTTTGCTGAATTCATGTATCAGGTCTAGCAGACTTTTGGTAGAGTCTATCGGATTTTCCATGTATAATAGCATGTCCTCTGCAAAAAGTGAAAGCTTGACTTCATCTTTGCCAATTTTGATGCTTTGATTTCCTTTTGTTGTCTGATTGCTGATGCCAGCACTTCCAACACTATGTTAAACAACAGCGGTGAGAGTGGCCATCCCTGTCGTGTTCCTGATCTCAGGGGGAAAGCTCTCAGTTTTTACCTGTTGAGGATGATGTTAGCTGTGGGCTTTTCATAAGTGGCTTTTATGATGTTTAAGTATGTTCCTTCTATCCCCACTTTTTTGAGGGTTTTTATTAAGAAAGGATGCTGAATTTTGTCAAATGCTTTTTCTGCATGGACAGGATCATATGGCTCTTTTCTTTTATTAATGTGATGTATCACACTGATTGATTTGTGAATGTTGAACCAGCCTTGCAGCCCAGGAATGAATCCCACTTGACCATGGTGAATAATTCTTTTTATATGCTGTCGAATTTGATTTGCTAGTATCTTGTTGAGAATTTTTGCATCCATATTCATCAGGGATATTGGCCTATAGTTCTCTTTTTTTGCCAGGTCTCTGTCTGGCTTAGGAATCAAAGTAATGTTGGCTTCATAGAATGAGTCTGGAAGTTTTCCTTCCCTTTCTATTTTTTGGAACACCTTGAGAAGGATAGGTATTATCTCTGCTTTCAACGTCTGGTAGAACTCCCCTGGGAAGCCATCTGGTCCTGGACTCTTATTTGCTGGGGGTTTTTGATAACTGATTCAGTTTCTTTGCTTGTTATGAATCTGTTCAAGTTTTCTATTTCTTCCTGTTTGAGTTTGGGAGTGTGTGGGTGTTTAGGAATTTGTCCATTTCTTCCAGGTTGTCCAGTTTGTTGGCATATAATTTTTAATAGTATTCCCTGATAATTGCTTGTATTTCTGAGGGATTGGTTCTAATAATTCCATTTTCATTCATGATTTTATCTATTTGGGTCATCTACCTTTTCTTTTTGAGAAGCCTGGCGAAAGGTTTATCAATTTTGTTTATTTTTTCAAAAAACCAACTCTTGGTTTCATTGATATGCTCTACTGTTTTTTTAGATTCTATAGTGTTTATTTCTGCTCTGATCTTTATTATTTCTCTTCTTCTGCTGGGTTTGGGGTGTCTTTGCCATTCTGCTTCTATTTCCTTTAGGTGTGCTGTTAGATTTTGTATTTGGGATTTTTCTTGTTTCTTGAGATAGGCCTGGATTGCAATGTATTTTCCTCTCAGGATTGCC